GGTTTTATCGTCAAGAGATGTGGGCATCCGCGGAAATTAGCCGTATGAGGCCCGCCGCAATTGCAGCATGTCGGGGTTTGCTCGGGAGTTTTTTGGCATTCAGATGCCAAGTGATTTCCTGCGCACTTGACGCATCTGGGTGGGTGGCCACAGTTACGGGAACCGTGTCCAAAACGTTGGCACGAAAAACATTGTGCCGGGCCGGAAGGATTAAGGGCTTCTACCGAAATTGTAAGATAAAATAGGGAGTTGAGAAGGAAGATATCCTTGGCGTTCGGGGTTGCCGCAATGTGTACGAGGCACATGGGCATCGGTTTTTCGGGAGTACCGAAACGGCGAATGTATTTTGTTTGGAAGTTTAGGGTTTCTAGTTCGGATTTTAGATCGTCAGTGGTGATGTCGGTCGGTATGCCCTTTAGAACGACCTTAAGGGAACGATCTTCAGGGAGGCTGAAGGTATGGAATTCAGTTTTGCTGTCAACTAGGACTCTCTGAATTTGTCGGAAGTGGGTGGGGTCGGTAGTTTGGACAGTTATTTGTCCATTGGATGTGGTTTTGGCTGTAATTGCCGATGGAGTGAAGTTCGGAAGTTTGTAGATGGTTGGTGCGATTTTTCGCCAGGACGCAGAGTTTAAGATTAAGGGGGGTGGCCTGATTTGCTTGGGTTTGGCTGATGTCGGGATTTGTTGTTCGGATGTTTTGGCTGGTGGAGGTTTAGTAGTCGGGGTGGAGTGTTGGGCGGATTTGTTTGACTCGGTGTCGGAAGAGGAGCAGTTTGACGACATTGTTATTGATGAGTCGGTCGACGGAGTTGGAGAGGGGGGGGGGAATCCCTCTGTGGACCTTTTAGGAAGGTGGACGGTGGGGATGGTGAGGCAAGTGGACGTCCCTTCTTGGAACTCCCGGGTGTATGCGCGGGGCCCTTCCGCTTGTTAGCTGTTTTGCCCATGGCAAGACCGTAACAAACTCAGGGTTTAACACTGTAGCTCTGAAAAGAGCGATTTTCTGGTGGTGTGACGGGTGGGTCTAGGGGGTTTGGTTTGGTCAGGGATGGGATTCTGCGGCAATGAGAGGGCGCGGCCCCTCGACAGATAAACGGTGGGAGGTGGATACCCGTCGCTTTCGCGACGGCTTACCTTGGGCGCTGGTGCCCTGTCGGAGTAGCGGTGAAAACGGCTGTTGATTTGGACTACGACGTCGCTTCCGCGGCGGTTTGAGTGGGCGCTGGTGCCCTGTTGAGAGCCGTGAGAACGGCTGTTTAGGTGACGGTGCGGGTGTGAACCGTGGGCGCTAATAATATCAATGGTACCGAACGACCCATTATATATAGGTATACGCATTTTTAATAAACCGTATTCCATGTAAAATTAATAATATAGCAATGCAAAAGTCATGACTTTTTGCAAAATATTATTAATATTAATAATACGAATGACGTCCAAAATTACCTCAAGCGTATGCAGAGCAGTAGTATATATTTGTATGTTCTGAGCACCTTTTTTACAGGGAAATTTCTTCTGTTCAAGCGGACATTTCTACATGCTCCACCGTGTAACAAAAAATCTCAAAAAACATAATGTATGTTCTGAGCACCTTTTTTCTACATACGATCACTGTGTAACACAAAATCTCAAAAAGTGTAATTAAAGAAAAGAACACAAAGTTGTTAACACTATATTTTTTTTTTATCAACATTTATAAACAAATCATTAATAATTAATGTTTTCATTTTAAAAGTCATTTTTTTTTTTTATGATGTTCAGTTTCTAGCGTATAGCTATTTGACGAAGTTGTGTTTAACTCTCTTCAATTTTCTCATCATTTCATTAAATTGTTTTCAAGTTATTATTAATTTTTTTCAAAAAATGAATTTTAAAAAATGTTCAAACGATGTCCAGTCATTGGTCAACCAAATACGATTCAATTCAACACCTGCATATCCAGAATTCTCTACTTTTTCCTCAAGATTAAAAACTTTCAAAACATTTCCATCAAATATTACTCGGGACAAATATTAATTAGCTGAGGCTGGATTTGTGTATATCAATCTTGACGACGCTGTCCAATGTCATTGGTGTTCTTTAATTTTGCACAACTTTGAGCTTGGAGACGATATACAGAGTGATTTTTTAAGCATGCTCACCCCATTTTTATGCTTAAATTATGAATATATTCAAATTCTGATTTTTGGAATTTTTACGTGTATTTAAAGACGATATTTTCGTGTACTTAGATTTTTCAAAACATTTAAGGATTATCCTGTGGCGATGCCAACTTTGGTTTTTCAAATGACAACATATATATTTTATAGCAAAACCTGAATCTGGTTATTTTTCTAAACATTTTGACGTATTGTAATCGAAATTTGAATGAAAACTTCCAGAGTTATTCTTCTTCAAATACCAAGGAATAAGGACTATTATACGAAATGCTTTCTAAATGGATATGAGACATGAGCTGTATAGTTGTAATTCGGTATGCAATATAAAATATTCGTTAACAATTACTAGTTACTAAATTCTTATGAATTAATATAGGACATTAACACCTGACAATTATTTTCAAAACAAAGGAAATATAAAATAATATCCTTTTTATTTTATCGAGTATGTTATCTTGTAACCTATACATATTATATCTATCGTTTATTTTTATAGCATAACTATTACCTAGAATAAAATACTAAATAATTGTCAGTAGTCGGTAACACAAATGTGAATACGTAATAATCAATTAATAATTATAAATACATGTAATAGAATTAAACATAGGCATTACATAGCTATCAATATTTATACACGTCCAGGAAAATGCTTCCAGATTACGCACTTGCTATAATAATAAGCGTAAAGTAATTTCAGATATCGGCGTTTAGATAAGAAATGATTGACAATATTGTGATAAACACGGTTTAAGCAGATAAGCCACAGACTGTCGTAGGCAGCAGCTGCTGTTTGTCATGGGCTGTAGTAAGTTGTAATCTGTCCGAAAACTGATAAGTGATAACAAACCAATGTGGAAAAAACCTATAGTACACTTTTTACAGTGATGCCCGCGTGGCCGTTTGCTTTCTGCACTGTGCTCGGACAAAAAAAGAAACGAAAATTTCAATTGACGACCCATGCAACACTGTCTAGCCGACCTCCGAAGGACGTAAGTCCACAGACTTCTATATCACTTTCTATATATAGAAATCTGTGGGTATTTTATATCTGTGGTGGGTACGATAATAGTCATACGATAATCGCTGTATAATCACTCTTATGTCTTATCTTATTCGGACAAATGGTATCACTCTTTTTTATTTAACTTTGAAATTTGAATCTTGTCTGTTTTTTTGGATGTTTGTCATTTCTCGACAATGGTGAAGTGTTGTACATGTGTAACTTGGTTATTTAATTTGGATTTTATACTTTGTGCTATTTAATATTTATTTTTAATAAAATTACTACCTGATACAATTCCTCGTTTTGTTTAACCAATTCCTTATAAGTAAACTTGTAATACGCATATCTTTTTCATAGTTATAATCATGATCTGATAACTTTCTGTTGAAGTGACAGACATAATCAAAGTTAAAATTTAAAGACTGTGTCAAGAAAATAAACCAACCTTGTGCACCATTAATCTTTTTTTTAGTAGACCTACCAGCAAAATTATTTTAAAAGGGTAAGTTTGTTTACAAAAAGTTATAAAAAGGTATAGCTTAAATAGGTACATTCTAGTAAATTAACTTCGTTGTTTTTAAATTTAAATTTGTTTTACTTTCAGAATTGTTAAATATTATCTGCCAACGTGGATATTGCTATTTGCTATTAACTTACCCAACACTTGCATGCAACATAGACGTCTGTTTGAGAGAGGATTTCCGAGGAATTTAATCTCATGCTGTTTACAAAATTAATTAATCGTGTTTAATTTCTACACATATTTTGCACTTTAAAAATGATAACCAGTGTTTCTAAATTATACATAAGGTACCTAATAGAATGATAATCTCCGTGTAATTGTGTGTGATGGCTAAGTGAGTCGTACGTTGTTCACGTCTCTGGATACAATCTGCTCAGGCTGTCTCGCTGTCCCCTATATATATGGTGGCGGTGTCCTTTGAAAGTGAGAGGCGTGTGTACAGTCGCCCTTGATATGATATGGACCTCACGAATAAGAGTGGTATTCTAGTCGTAAACACTTTGGGTGTGGTCATTGCTTGCCTTTCACATTCCTGGTTGTTTTTATGAGCAAGTACATGAAATTACGTAATCCCATTACACCTCCCTACCAAAAAAAAGATTGTTAACCTTTAAGGGTTAAGAATCTTTAAGAACGTTAATTAAATAGTTTACAATGGTTGAATTACATTGCTTACATACATTTACATTGGTATCAAATTTTGTATACAGTTCACAATTTTGATTACATTAATACATTTGATTACAATAATGTGAACATTTTACAATTTTTAACGTCATCATTATTATTATTATTATTATATTTTTATTATTCATATATTAATTATATTATATTTTTATATATTTATATTAATTTGTATATTGTGGTTACTGGTTAGTAAAATAAAATTAAAACATGATTTAATTAAATAACTAGTGTTAATAAGAAGGAGGGAATCGGACATTTCGGCACAGCCATTTCGGCACGGCTATTTCGGCGCGAAGACAAATCGGCGCTGGGTATTTCGGCGCGGCTAACCTAACTACCTAGTATTAAATGTTTTCGCAATATTTTTTTTTTAAATAAAATTATGAAAAATATCCGTAATCATCAATAGTGCAATCCAGTCAAATATAGCTGTTATCGTGTAACGTAAAATTGTAAAAACCGATTAAATAGGTAAGATAAAGGTAGATAAATACCAGCAGTTAAGATAAAGCGATGAATCGACCGTCTGACCGTAGACGTGTAGAGTATTAACTGTAGTTTGTAAGTCAGTCATAGTTTAATAGTCGATCAGTAATATTCAGTTATAAAAATTTCTTATTAAGATGTCTAATAATTTACTATCAAATCGCGGACGTGAAATTTTACCGAAAGACGGTTTCATGTATGTCTTCGATAAATTTAATTTTAATAATACAAAGCGATTTTGGAGGTGTCGCAATAAAGATTCTTGTAAGTGTCGAATTCATACCGGAATTAATGATTATATTATTCAAAAAAAAATTAACGACCATACGCATGATTCCGAGGCAGCTAAAATTGAAGTAGAGGCTGCAATTACAAAAATTAAGACACGTGCACTTCAAACAATGGAACCTACATCAGTTGTAATAAACGAATGTGTTGGACCTTTATCCGAAGCAGCTAAAGTAAGTACAAATTTCAGACAATATGTTTATTTTTACTAGGACCGATAATTTAAATTTAAGAACAATAATGTAGTTTAGCGATGTTTTTCAAAAAATAATGAATTTTGAATAATGAATAATCCGACACACGCACAATTATTTAAAAATGTATTTTTGTTATTTGTTTTCAGGCCACTTTGCCAAATAATTCATCATTGAAAAAAACGGTTCGCCGAAAACGTCAGGAAATCCAAATGGCACCAAATAATCCAGCTGACCTAACTACACTTAACATCCCACCCGCTTATACTATGTATTCTCCATCAAACGGTAATGAGGAAATATTTTTACAATGTGATAGTGGTCCGGGACCTAATAGAATATTAATTTTTGCTCGATCTAAGAGCCTAGATATTTTGGAGAATTCAAAAATTTGGTACATGGATGGGACATTTAAAGTTGCACCTACATTATTCAGTCAAGTTTATGTAATATTAGCTGAATATTTACACGGTATTGTGCCTATGGTTTACATTTTACTCCCTGATAAACAATCAGTTACATATGATCATATGTTTTTAATGTTAAAAAATTTAAGACCTAATTTAAAACCTAAATCAATTTCATGCGATTTCGAACAAGCGGCCATAAAATCAATAAAAAAAGCATTTTCTGATGTTAAAATATATGGATGTTTATTTCATTTGTCGAAAAATTTTAAAAAACAAGTTGGTGTATTAAATCTCACAACTCGATACAATAATGACGCTGATTTTTCCATATCAGTTAAAATGATAATTTCATTAGATTTTGTAAGGTTAGAAGACCTTGATTTTGCAGTTGATTTACTGGCTCAACATCTTGATGAAGAATTAAATGACTTATTAGAATGGTTCGAAGACAATTATATAGGTCGAACTAACCGTAATGCGAAGAAATGCGCGTTTCCCTCCAGAAACTTGGAATCTATATGATAGAGTCTTAAATTCTGAAAATAGGACAAATAATCATGCTGAGGCAGCAAATAGGAGATTAAATATTGAAATGGGAGTGTGTGGCCCAACAATTTGGACATTTATAAATTGCTTGAGAAGGGTTCAAACAGGCCACGATGTTTTTATAGCGCAACTAACTGCTGGAGGGAGTCCCCCTAAAAAATTAAAAAAATACACTGACCTAAATCGACGATTATATAAAATAGTAAGCGAATATAATATAAGAAATTGCATTGAATATTTAAAGGGAATCTCACATAATATTTCTTTAAAATAAATTTCAATTGTATATTATTAACATTTTATTATTATTAATATTAATTCATTTTTTTTTTTTTAAATTAATTTTATATAATATTATATTATCAACATTATATTTATTTGTATTTATAAAACTGTAATATTGGAATAATGATATAATATTATTTATTTTGTATTTTTAAAATTGTATATTAATACCTGCGGCGCCGAAATTTCCTCGTGCCGAAATGCCCAGCGCCGATTTGTCTTCGCGCCGACATAGCCGTGCCGAAATGGCTGTGCCGAAATGTCCTAGATCCTAAGTAATAATCCTTTTAATAAAAAAATATATTTACCTGAAATTATAACATTATAAACGTTATGTGAGTATAAAATTTAAGTATAATTATCATCTTCCACCTATATACTAATCTATGTGAATAATCGTTAAATTTGCCATAAACATATTCAACTATAAATCTACTTAGGGTAATTCATTATGTAAATTGGATTTCTAGTATTTTCTATTATTTTTGCTAGTTCCTTGCACTCTCCATTACAATAATCATCCATGAAAAGTTCAAGGCTTCTAGTTATTTTATTTAAGGTTTTATGATCGTAACGGTTATTTATTTTTTTGTTTGCCTTCAATATATGCCAATTAAAGCATACGGACTGCAATTTATTTTCTTTAACATTATAAATATGTACTTCCGTTTTTAAAATGGTTTTTAGCTCCTCAATGAATCTAAAATAATATAATAAATGTTAATTTATTTATTTTGCTTTCTTTGTATAATTTATTTCGTGTTAAATTTATTTATTAACTATAATAATTTTTTTATTTTGCTTTAAAATTCCTTTTATATTTTTTTTCTAATTTATATAATTGAATAGGCATTTTGTTAAAATTACGTCAGCAATTGGGTCATAACAATGTGTAATATTGTGATTAATACCGCATGCTAGTTCATGAGCTTCTGATAATCCTAACATTCTACCGTTTTTATTTAATTTATCTAAATAGCCCGAATATAATACTTCCTTAGTTTCTAGATTTGTTAATTCTAACTTCTAAGATAAAATCATCATTATTCCTAATACTTATTGCAGATATGTTTAAAAATGCTAAAATTCCTTTCAACCTTAATCGCTTAATTATTGTGATATCTGAAGTTCCATTCCAAAATACTACTATCGGCTCCTCATTGTCCATGTGCAAATATCTTTGCAAGTATACCGTAGACAAGGTTGATTCCCCCTGGTGACTTACACTTTTGTATAACTGTTCCAGCAATGGTTCAATCACTCTTGCCTTTTTTCCACGGAATACTCGTTTGATTCCCTGCACTATATTCTTTAGGTCGCATCGGCGGAATCTTCTTAACTTATCATCCTTCGTAAGTATAAGAGGACTCCCCTCCAATTTCTTGGGTTGGTACTTTTCTAAGCTATTCGATATTGCACCGGATACCAGTAATGTTTCGTACTTACTGCCAGAAAATAATTCGAAATCCATTATAAAAAAGCGTATCTGTGAGCTAAAATAAAATGTTTATATTATTTAAAATTAATTGGTGTCTTAGTATTTATTATTATATATATAATATATGTTTCCCTGAGGCTTATTCTTCGAAAATCGTTTCGGTGGTCACACGCCTCGTGATCAACTGTTCTAACAGCAATCCCAACTCTACACATATGGGTCTGTTATGATTTGGTCGTTCAATAACCGCGCGTACAAAGTCATTAACATGAATCAATACCCGTGCTAAGATATATGACCTGAAGGGTACTGTCATGTTATCATTCGCCCTTCTTATGTGCTCCGGAAAACAATGTAAACCGTCTATATCCCCTTGCATTATCTGCGTATGATGTAATTGATTCGTTTTTCAACTCTCTGAAGAATTCAAGTGTTTGTAGTTGCCTTCGGTCAGTTCGTGTTACAGGTGGTACGTTCTCACCCATTTTTATATTTTAAAATTTCTACGTGTTTTTTTTTTTTTTAATCTTTTGTTTTTCTTCTTAATTTCCGAAATAGTTAGAAGTTATTATTATATAATTATTACATAGAATATTATTTTACGTATATATGTATATATATTTTTTATGCACGTAATATTATTTTATTTAATTTCATAGAATATTGTTGTACGTATTATTTCTTTTATGCACTTGATAATATTTTATTTAATTATTTATTTAATTATTTATTTTTGTTAATGAATTTTTTTAATTTATTTATCGAATATGATCTTTGGTATAAAATTGGTGTTGAATATAATATTGATCTAATATTTCTGCAATTTTTAAACACATTGAATTATAGGCTGGTTCGCGGTTACATCTAGTGCAAAAGAAAGCTGTTAACGGACGCATCACGGCTTCAAGACAAGATTCGTTAAAAGTTACTTGCATATTATTATTCGCGTATATTACGTGTTGTCTACGCTCATGTTATACATATTATGTTTATTTTGACATTCCTCTTGATTGTTTCCTGAAACATAATTATATATATAGTATCGATTTATTAGTTTATATATACCTTGCTTCTTATTTATTTATTAAACTATTCTGCCGGGTAATTCCATGACTTCTGTGATCCTGATATTCTTGCATTTTATCATTATATAAATTGCTATTATTAGTATAATAGATATCGATGCTAGTACTATTGTTATGTATAATAGATTACTGTGTATGAACTGGTGTTTTTGGTTTTGTTCTCTGGAAATTTCTTCGTCGATCATTTGTTGAACTGTGTCTAATGATTTGGATTCATCTCGTAGATCCGTGAACTGAATCCACTGAACCACAGGTTTGTTCCCCCTCTGGTTTTTTATTTCGAATTTATGTTTATGTTCTGGTATTTTTCCTAATAGTTTCCTCATGTCAACTTCCGGTATGAAATCCTTATAGTCCTTTTTAACAATTTTATCTGTGGGTGTTAATACTGCATCTTGTGCAAATATTTGGCAATTTTTGTTTATTATTTATATTTCTCCAGTCTGCACTGTTGCTATTTGTATTGAATCTGATAAATTCGTACAACTTAATGTCATTCCTCCAGGTCTTGCATGAATCTACTTGTCCTTATTTATTAATTTATGATATATATTTTTATTTAAATTAAATCTCTCAAATTTACAAATATTTTCGTTGTCAAGAATTTCAGTTCCTTTAAATAATTGTACTTCACATGGTTGACGTCCATTATTATCTTGTATGGGTTGTGGTAAACCGCATAGTCTATATAATCCGGTTTCTTTGCATTCATTTAGTTGTCTGTCCGTGTATGTCGTAAATCTTTTCCTGTCCTTGGTAATTGCGATATTGTTATAGGTAAGAGTTGTAATATACTATACATTATATTCGATTAAATATACTGGTATAGGTAACATATTATATAGTGTTAATTCGATGTCAATTACTAATGGTATCTTTGTAATAAATACTATTGTTTCGTTGGAATAGTAAATACTTATTTTGATAGCCTTTTGTAGTTCGCTTTATTCCGTAGGGTTTTCCCCCATAAGAATACTGTATGGTTTTTTGATTACTTGTTCTATTGGTTTTAATGTTGCTACTACTTCTTGTGGTGTCATAAGACTAGGGTGCATTATACCTTCTCTAGCTGCGACTATTATTTGACCTAGTAATTCCGTTTCGTAACCATATTGGTTAACCATTATAGTATACAAATTATGCACTTCCTCTGCCAATAATAAGTCGTATATATCATCGGTTGCATTTTGTAATTGTCCTATTTTTTCGTAGATTTTTTTGTTCCTTAATTGTAATTATTTTATATATTGTGTCAGTTTGTTTTACTGTATTTCCTATTTTCTTTACTGTAGCTTTTATTACGGTTGTTTGTTCCTTCATTATGTGTAGTATTTTGTTTCCAGATTCTTCTGTCGATTTTATTGCTTCTTGTGTTTTTTCAGTACATTTGTCATCACAAACGCCAAATAACGTGTACATAACGTTCCCTATCATATTTATTAGTCCCCTTCTTTTTCGTTTGTTGTTATTGTCTTCTACTAGTTCGCTTCCTAATGATAAATATATGCGTTTCTTTTGGTTATTTATTTCGTTATATAAATCTGTTATTATTATTTGATATTTTTTGCATAGTTCAATATGTTTTTGGTTCTTACATATTGCTGTGATATTTTTCATTTTTTCCCCTAATAAATTATATTTCGTATTTTATTCCTTTAATGAAAAATATGTAACAAGTTTATATTCAGTTCCTATTATTTTAGTAGGTCCTAAATTTTCACCATATATCCCTTTTCCTGTATGAACCTTATACGCATAATATTCTGATTAATTTATTTCAATAGATTTGACTAGACAATCACTCATCACCATCACCAAGTATCTAAAACTACAAAATTTTATTAAACTAACTATCTTATTATTATCTTATAAAATTAAAACCATCTTACATAATCCAATATATCTCTAGTATCGTGCAAAAGTTTCATATACTCTATTAATCGTTTACATAGGGTATTTGTGGGTGTCACTGAATCTGATGATAAATCGTACATAATTTGTGTAAGAATTCGCGTAATTTTCGTTATTTCGAGAGTACTAAATGGTTCTTCCATAAAATTATTCGCGGTATTAATATGTCCTATTAAACATCTCGGCGTGTGTTCCGGTCCTAAAGTATATGTTTCATGAATTTCTTGTTCGATTGCCATTCCTAGTTCCACGGTGAA